AGAAGTTGGGTGGGGAATTGTGTTAGGAGCACAATACAAGGCATTGGTTCACTACAGGAGGCACTAGATACAATTCTCTGGCCTGTCATATACAGGAGGTTAGATTAGATCGGGGTCGGCAACCTTTGAGAAGCGGTGTACCAAATCTTCATATTTTTACTGTAATTTAAGGTTTCGCGTGCCAGTAATACATTTTACATTTACAGGGGCCGGTGGACAGAACCCCAGACTGGCAGCAGGCTGAGCGGGGCCGGGAATCCGGCTGTCAGGGGCCGGTGGATGGAACCCCAGACCGGCAGCACGGATGGCAGACAGAACCCCAGACCAGCAGCAGGCTGAGCCGCTCAACCTGCTGCCGGTCTGGGGTTCCGTCCGCCAGCCCCTGCCAGCCGGGGTCCCGGCTGCCGGCCCCGCTCAGCCCACTGCGGGCCTGGGGTTCCGTTCATCCAGGCCGGCAGCGGGCTGAGCGGGGCCAGTGGCCGGGACTCTGGCTGGCAGCAGAGTGCACTAAAAATCAGCTTGCATGCCACCTTTGGCATGCGTGCTGCAGGTTGCCAACCCCTGGATTAGATTATCACCCTTCTGGCCTTCACATCTATGAATCTACTGAGTAAATCCCAGCAAAAATCCAGGTACTTCTGAAACCGGAGGTGTTTCGAAATTCCTAGCCTTTGTCTGCATCATGCAAAGAGCACAGAAAAGCTGAGGAAACACTGAGGGAGGGAAAGTTAAAAGGGTCCATGTGACAACCATATACGAGACCCGAGGTCTGTCCCAGAATTCAACAGAGACCTGCCAAAAAGTCACTATCATAGTGACCAGGTACAAATGTAACAGGAGTACTTGTGGCACCTTAGAGACTAACAAATTTATTAGAGCATAAGCTTTCGTGGGCTACAACCCACTTCTTCGGATGCATATAGAGTGAAACATTGAGGAGATATATATACACACATACAGAGAGCATGAACAGGTGGGAGTTGTCTTACCAACTCTGAGAGGCCAATTAAGTAAGAGAAAAAAAACTTTTGAAGTGATAATCAAGATAGCTCAGTACAGACAGTTTGATAAGAAGCAAGTGTGAGAATACTTACAAGGGGAGATAGATTCAATGTTTGTAATGGCTCTGCCATTCCCAGTCTTTATTTAATCCTGAGTTGATTGTGTCTAGTTTGCATATCAATTCCAGCTCAGCAGTCTCTCGTTGGAGTCTGTTTTTGAAGTTTTTCTGTTTTAAGATAGCCACCCGCAGGTCTGTCATGGAATGGCCAGACAGGTTAAAGTGTTCTCCCACTGGTTTTTGAGTATTATGATTCCTGATGTCAGATTTGTGTCCATTAATTCTTTTGCGTAGAGACTGTCCGGTTTGGCCAATGTACATGGCAGAGGGGCATTGCTGGCACATGATGGCATATATCACATTGGTAGATGTGCAGGTGAACGAGCCCCTGATGGTATGGCTGATGTGATTAGGCCCTATGATGATGTCACTTGAATAGTTATGTGGATGTGATTGTGAGGTGTGATGAGGACTGGACTATATATCCAATAAAATTCATCCTGAGGTAAATTTGTGTATATGTTATGCAGATTTGTAATCAGTAGCTTTAAAAATGTTAGGCAGGCGTGAGGTGGATTTCTGAACCTAACTATGCAAGGTAAAATCTTAGCCAAAACCAGAGGTGTTGCCAGAAAATGGCACCTCCTGATGGCCTGAGACCCTCCATGCTGCCTGTTTGCTCTGTTTCCAGGTGCTGCTTTGTTTGATTGTTAGTCACACTCTCTTCCTTGCTGTCAGTCTCACTAGGCTGACTAGTGCCACCATATTTTATGGACCTCATGCTGGGTAGTAACATGAGAGGACTTTGTGTTTCTAAAACTAAACTGGCTCTTTATTAAGAAAACTATTTACGCAGGTGCTACAGCTGCAGCGAGCATTCTAGCCATGTGCCCACAGACTGACTTCCGGGTGCCTCCTCCAAACTCTTCCTTCCTGCAACCAGTGCTCCTCCCTCCAAGTTCCATGCAGATTGCTACATATGGGTCACATCCTGAAATCCTGAGACAGCTTTCACTCTGTCCTTTAAAAAGCCATGGGAATTCAAGTTTGACTGAGGACAACAATAATTGTTTATTCTTTACCACTCTATGTTACACTGTACAACACTAGTGACAATCCCACATATTCAAAAATCATGAGACTGGCTTAAAAATCATGATATTTTTAAAATATTAAATTTGGTGCCTTTTTCTGTACTTTCTAGCTTTTGAGACTTTGGAGGTAACATTTCCAAGCTTTTCCCTGCAGTAATGAGGGCTAGAAACTTACGTAAAAAAAAAAAAAAAAAAGATAGCTGAGAGTCGCATATAATCACCTGACTCTTGGAGCTGGAGCTTTCAGAAAAAAAACACCCCAAATGTCATCAGATAAAATAAAATAAAGAATACTGTTATTCTGTGATTTACATGCAACAATCAGATTGTTTTATATAAAATAAACACATAATTAAAATATTGAACTGGGAAGAAAAGTTATATGGGCAATGAAGTAGGGAAGTGCTAATTTCCACTGAAGTCTATAGAAGAGCTGCTAATGGCAAACTGCAGTGATCCGGCTGCCCTGTTACCTTTCATGATCTCCCAGGGAATGAGCTAGCTTTACTAAACAAACAAACAGACAGAGCCCCCGTGCAAGCATTCCACGCCAGCTGCAAACTTAACTACAGAGCTATTCAAGTGGCTCCATAATCAACGGACAGAGCCAAACATTACACCAGACTGAATGTGCCAGGATGACATTCACATTAGTGCAAAGGACCTGCAGATGTCTCTGTCTACCACTCACACCCTTACTTAAATGATGTATGCATAGATCATCTGCCCTGGGCTGAATTTTACCCTAAAAGCCTTAAATGTGGCAGAATTCACTGGTGACCATTTCATAGCAGCACTAGCGTCCATAACTGAGAGGCCAGATTTTCATCTCAGTTGTGCCAGTTTAAATTTGGAGTAACTCCACTGAAGCCAAGGGAGTTACTACAGATTTACACAGTCGTAAGGGACAGCATAACCACCTGGCATCCTCAAAGGTCAGTTCATGTGAGTGGCTGGAATGTCCTTCCCCTTAGCTTTAATAACCTCTATTGCTGAGCCACAGCTGCCTGGACAGTTCTGATGACTAATCGAGTGCAACTAAATTAAATAAAATATTACAAAACCCCCCAGAACTAACACAGCATGTGCACACTCCAGAAACAACACCCCCAGATCCCAAATCAGACAAGCTCTTAATGATGTGCTTAACATTAAGCATGTGAGCAGACCTTAGACATCAGTGAGATGATTCAGGTGCCTAAACTCATCTGCTGGATCAGGGCCCTAGATGGTCTTATTTTTTGAAAACCTCATCCCTCGCCATCCATGGTTGTTCTTTCCCCCTCAGTCCTTAAACAGCCCTGATCCTGCAATGAGCTCCATGCAAGGGCAGGGTCCCACCCACACGGACCTCATTTCAGGATTGGGACCTAATTTGGGACTCACTCCTGCAAGGTGTGAGCACCAACTCCCACTGACTTCAATGAGCACTCAGCATCTTGCAGGACCAGGCCCTTAGTTAGCTCGTTGAGGCAGGATCCGTGCCTTTTATTTTTCTGTACAGAAACATGCGCTGCAAACCATCAGACGTGCTGACACGATGATGCATAAATAGATAATACATTGGAGTTTGGGAAACATCCTTCCTGCCCTTTGGCACTGAGGAAAACAGGGCAGAGTGGGAGGGATGGGGAGAGGGATACTACCCTAGCTTGCCAGGGTCATAACTAGCAATTCACGGGAGTCATAACCCTCATCAGTTTTATCACAAATCTTGCACTATTTGGTGTTTCCCTGCTGCCCCAGCTCCTGAGACAAGCTATTCTTGTGACAATTGCAGCAGTACTTTTCTAGCCCTTGTGATTGCAGAAAAAAAGACTGAAATGGAACCCTAAAGCACACTGAATATTCAGCAACCAGTAAACCAAGGAAAAGATCCCCAACTTTAAGAATCTCGGGATTTCTCTTTTATGGCTGAGTCACGATTTTTGAATGCTTGAGGTTAGCAACGCTGTAATGTGGCAATCTAATCTATCTATCACACACACGACAGGCCCAAACCAAGACCCTAGATCAGAACGATCCCAACCTACTTTAGAGCCACATCTGAAATGTACAGCTAACACCCAGCTGTAATGAGATATAATGGAAATAACCTTTTAACATTTTTAAACAGCCAGGCCACCCAGAAAATTTTCTTATTCTCAAAACAAAACAAAAGGACACAGAGAAAAAGAACAATCCCCTTTGTGACAATGGCATTCTCCAGAAACAGGCCTGTATTTTAAAAGGTGGACGTCACTGCCATCGCGCCCGCTCCATCCCCCTGAGCTGTCGCTCCGAAAATAGTCCCAGCTGTCCGGCTCCATCTCTCCTCAGAGCCATTTGCAGAAATGCGAGCTGAGAGTGGGGGGTTGCAGCTTGAATTGGCACCGACATGGGGACAGAGAGGAGCTCAGTGAAAAAACTTACCAAAGAGAAAAGCAACACTTGGTTTATGCCTTGGAAATGAAATAAAATAAAATCCCTCCCTCCCAACACCCAGCTTCCCCACCCCCCACACCAAGCCCGTCTGTCACACAGGTTGACATCCACAAGCTACGAAGGTCAAAGTTAATCCCCCGCAAGTAACCTCTCCAACTCTCTTTTTTCCATCTTTCCACAGCTCTTTTGGAGGCTGTTCTTTAGACTCCTGGTCGCCCAGGCAAAATAATCCAGTGAAACAATCCAAATACTGCTCAGGCCAATGTCTCCTTGACCTTCAGCTCTGTCGTCTTTCACCTCAAATGCCTTTAACAAGGCAATAAACACTCAGATGTAATTAATGTGGACTCCGAAATCACCTCCTTCCTCCCTCTGCCTTCCTCAGATGAGCTGCTCCCCAATATACACCCTCAGGACCTTACCTGGAGTCTTGTCAGAGTCTGAGAAGGCAAGAGGCTCTCATCGGGGTGAGGGAAAGCAGATCCTTACTGAGAGACACACAGGGAAAAGGGGAAAAATGAGGTGTGGGGGACATGGGGAGACCATCTAGGTTTTGGTCCCCCCTCCCTTCCAGTAAATAAAACAGAAACCCCAGCGATGGTGCGGACGTGCAGTAAAAGGTCCCCTAGTCCCCCTGCAGTGTCTCCACTGCTTGGGGTGTAGGCTGTGTCGCCCCCGGCCCCACCCCTTCCCCTAGCTGTCCTCCTCCACTCGAATTGCTGACGTGCTTTCCTCTCCTTCTGCCTCCCAGCTCCAAAATAGCCCTGGGTGTCATTTACTGGAGAGATTAAATTTCATCTGGTAGAGAGGCGAAAGGGCATAGTTCTAGGGACTCAATCGGCCCATCCAAAGAGGCAAAAAAAAAAAAAATCAGCAGAGGTGTGAGTGTGCATGTGTGTGTGTTTGTGTGTAACAGGCTGCGGTGCCAGGATTCATCAGGACTGCTTCTCAAGTGTGTATCCTAGAGCCAAGTGATAGCTGTTAAACAGCGACCGGAGAACAGGCTGTTGGCAAAGTTTATCTGTGTTACAAGTGTCTCCTTAGTAAAAAGAGGAATTCCCTTTCAGATCAGTAATGGGGTTTGTGGAAGAAAGAGCTCATTTTAGGGTTGGCTTCTTTGACCAAGGACATTTGCAGAACAACAACGAATAAACAGCAAATGAACAAAACTGACGGTGCCACTCTTTCTCCAAATCTTAAAGTGTGGTTCTGCTCTGAAAACTGACTCTGCAAAAATGGCATAGTGAGATTGCAGATTTTCTGCCTCTGTGACTCCTGGTCATATTGTCTCACATTACAAGTAAAAAGTTATTTGCCCAACTACCACTTCCTTAAACACAGCCTCGAATCCAAGAATTCATTCTAGTCTACACATTCCTGCTGATGAAGATTCCAGAACTGGAACTTAGTCAATAACTGTTGATAATGCACAACGCTGAATAGAATCCCGCTCATTCTCCCATAGCTGCACTGTCTGTGCATGGGTAAACAGGAGAGAAAAGTAGTGAATACTTATTGGGGCCATAAATTAAGCAGATAACATCCCAAATACACACAGGAAACAGTACTGGTTGAGTAAGAATGTGCTACTTTTACATAGGGAGTGTTGTTGTAGCTGTGTCAGTCCAAGGATATTAGAGACACAAGGTGGATGAGGCAATATCTGTTATTGGATCAACTTCTGTTGGTGAAAGAGACAAGCTTTCGAGCTTCCAGAGAGTTCTTCTTCAGGACCTGAAGGAACAGGACCTGAAGAAGGTCTCTGTGTAAGCTCAAAAGCTTGTCTCACCAACTGTAGTTGTTCCAATAAAAGATATTACCTCACCCACCTTGTCTCTTCTTCTACATAGTCACTTTTCAAAGCACAACAGCACTTAAAACAATAGACAAGAATTAGACCTTTCAGGCTAATGCCTGCCATGAGATTTCTGAAATTGGAAACAATTGCTTCAGGTTATAGTTGCACAAACAATGACCCATGATGTAATAGGAATCACGTAAACCATTTGAAATTCAGTATTATTGTTATGGCCGGAGTCACCAGGTGGCGCTGTTATACATAGTTGTCAATTTTTTTTTTTTTTTTGGCTTGTGAACCATGTACGGTCTTTGAAAGACTCCTGAGAGCCCAACTAGAGGAACTGTGAGAGTAGGGTGACCAGACAGCAAGTGTGAAAAATCGGGACAGGGGGTGTGGAGGGGTAATAGGAGCCTCTACAAGAAAAAGACCCAAAAATCGGGACCGTCCCTATAAAATCAGGACATCTGGTCACCCTATGTGAGAGTGAGAGCCCTTGAAGCGGTCAGGGATGAACCAGTCTGACACCATGCTTATGAAGAAACATCTGGCAGAACTCCAAAGGAAAGTAGCTGTCCTGTCCATGAGACCCCCAGAAAATAATGTGCCACCCTCTCAGATGACCAGAAGTTGAGGAACTTGTCCACCTGACCAAGAGAGAATGAGAGAGACAGACTATTTCTAGAGAGGCTGAGAGCATGAGGATCACCACCCCTGATGAGACCATCATCCCTAGGATCCCTCACACTTCTGCTGTAAGTGTGGTGAGGATGTCCACCTTCTAAGAATCTGTTGCAATCGGGTGAACCCCAGGAAAGTCTCCAAATGATTCAAGGCCCTGTGCACTGAGCACCCACCAGAAAACTTCGAAGGGACCAAGGAAGGGAACATCTGGGTCCTGAAACCAGAACTACTCCTACAACATTTAATTTCTGAAGTTCCATCCACAGCCTTCACCCAAAAACAATATACCTAATGGACTCTGTGGATCCAAGGCTGAAGTGGATGTGTGGGCTAAGGGCATTGTTGCCGAGCTGTTTTGGACAGTGGGTCTCAAGTTACCCTTTTGTTCCAGCCACTTAAAGCATCTGACCCTTCATCCCCTGGAAGGACGTGCCTGCGGGGATTACATGAATCATTCATTGTTCCCCTATCTAGGAAATATCTACTGGCGCTTCTGCTTCATGTCCTAGATAAGACACAGAAAAGTAGAGAGGCCTATGAAAAGTTACATTGAAAAAAAGGGGAAGTTAGCTTTTTGAAACTGGCTGATGGGTCTAAAAATGTAATAGTAAACACAGAATCATCATTGAGTGGGTGTATTTCCAGTGGGGTCCCACAGGGATCAGTTCTTGGCCCTATGCTATGTAACATTTTTTTTCCCAAGTCATTGATAAAACATAATATTATCAATGATGAAGTTCGCAGATAACACAAAAATTGGGGGAGTGGCAAATAATGAAAAAGACAGGTCATCGATTCAGAGCGATCCGGATTGCTTGGTAAACTGGATGCAAGCAAACAATACGCATTTTAATATAGCTAAATGTAAATGTATACATCTAGGAACAAAGCATGGAGGCCATACTTACAAAATGGGCGACTATTCTGGGAAGCAGTAATTCTTAAGAAGATTTGGGGGTCATGGAGGATAATCAGCTGAACAAGAGCTCTCAGTGTGATGCTGTGACCAAAAGGGCTAATGTGATCCGGAGATGCATAATCTCGAGTAGGAGTAGAGTGGTTATTTTACCTCTGTATTTGGCACTCATGTGACTGTTCCTGGAATACTTTGTCCAGTTCTGGTGCCCACAATTCAACTGTGAAAAACTGGAGAGGGTTCAGAGAAGAGCCACAAGAATGATTAAAAGACTAGAAAATATGCCTTATAGCAACAGACTCAAAGAGCTCAACCTGTTTAGCTTAACAAAGAGAAGATTAAGAGGTGACTTGATTACAATCTGAGTACCTACATGGGGGACAAATACTTGGGTTCTTCAATCTAGAAGAGAAAGTTATAACATGATCCAAGGCTGGAAGTTGAAGCTAGACAAGTTCAGACTGGAAGATGTAAATTTTTTTTTTGAGAGAGAGAGTAATTAACCATTGGAACAATTTATCAAAAGTCATGGTAGATTCTCCATCATTGACCATTTTAAATCAAGATTACATGTTTTTCTAAACTATCTGCTCTACGAATTACTTTGGGGAAGTTCTGTGGCCTGTGTTATACAGGAAGTCAGACTAGACTATCACAACAGACCCTTCTGGCCTTGGAATCTATGAATTTATGTGGTTTCTAAGAGGGTCTTTGTCACAGACACAGCATCTCTGGGCTTTTTTCTTTCCCCGCCTTGCTCTGCTATGTGGTGAGAAGGAGGGACAGGGTAGAGGAATAAATGAAAAGAAGTTTCCCAGCATGCCATTTGGGGGACAAAGCCCTGGAAATTTTGCTTCCCTGCAGGGAGGAAGAGTGAAAAAAGGCTTTGTTTGCTGCTGCCTCAACATAAGTTTAAAAGCTAGGATGCCAGTAAAGAAGGTGGGAGCGTGCAAATGCCTTTGATTGTACGAATGGCAGCCGAAATTTGTCAGTTGGAAGGAGCATGGCCAAAGCTCTGAGCCCCAGAGGCAAGTCTGAGTTGCCTCCAATTTTTACAAGAAGAGAGGCATAAATCCAACTGCCTTTGATTTGGAGACAGACCAGCGCCCAAGAAAAAAAAAACGGTTACCTACCTCTTGTAATTGTTGTTCTTCAAGATGTGTTGCTCATCTCCATTCCACGTAAGGTATGTGTGATCTTATGGAACTAAGTGCGAAGGTCCCGCCACTACCTCATCAGGTGAGGAAGAGGATGAGACCAGAATGGGAAGAGGGACCAATTCCACTTCCCCGGTTGGGGCAGCCTCGGTCTCAGGCTAGTGCTAGTGCCTGGGCACCTTGGTCCAATCCCTCATCTAAGTCAGGAGCAACGTGGTTGCAGACAGCCTCTCTGATGCCCCAGAGATTGAGTGCTGCAAATGGGATCCTGGGGCGGGGGGGAACCCCGATGGGTTCCAGAATTGCCATGATACAGCCCATTGACCTGTGGCCAGGTGCTCGTTGATGGGCCCGGTGGAAAGCCAATGCAGGGTATGCCTGGCCCTTGGGCATAGTGATCTCCTCACCCTCTGAGTCCAAGGAGGAAGGGTTCTCCCTTGGTGGTCAAGGTGGTGCTGCTGCTGCCTCTGCTTCCCCACTGTATGGGGGTCCCGGTGTTTTGCACTTGGGGTGCGTACCGGGGCTCCGTGGAGTGATGTCGTGTACCTGGTGACCGATGACGGTGCTCAGGGGACTGGCGGTGGTATTCCGAGGATCGGTGTGGCAGCTCTGGGGACCGGCGCAGAGATTCTAGGGACAGGGATCTGGGGACTGGCATCGAGGTTTCAGGGACTGGCATTGGGATTCCAGGAACTGGTGCCGAGGTTCTGGGGACCGGCATGGAGGGTCCAGGGACCAATAGCACGTTTCCAGGGACCGATGATGAGATGCTGGTGACCGGTGCGGAACTTGGGAGCGGTGCTGTAGGGATGAAGACCACTGCATGGGCCCCCTAGTGGGCTTGCCTCTAGATGGGACTACCACGATGGTACCAACGAGGGTTCCTGGTATCTCTCTTCTTGTTGTCGGCACCGGCAATGAAAGTATGTTCTTGGCCGCTTGTAACGCCTCCGGCACAGACAGTACCGTCAGGTGCTGGGCACCCCTACCGGTCCCTGGGGTTGGAGGCAGGTCCCGGGTCAGGCTCGGAAGTATAAGGGGAGAG